GACGATAAACTTTAAACCCTTCTTGACCAATAGTAAGCCATCCATCCTTTAACCCTTCCTTTCACCATTATCCCACTCTCCACTTATAAATATTAGTTGATTTGTCACAAAACAGATGGGACTACTGCTTACTCCTTGAACCAAAAACAACAAATTCTAAACAAAAACAACAGAAGGTGAAGCATGAAATTGTACTCTGATCCGAAGGTGACTTTTTCGATTCAAACCAAGATATGTTGGTCAATATGTCAGGTAGTGTGAGCAACGGTCATAGTACTCCACTACCCTCAAAACTCTCTACTAATAATCCCGCTTAATCTGAAGCCAAGTCCGGATAGTTGAGGAAAAAGAGAACAAGAAAGAAGAGTCAGAAAGATCAAAATATTCCAAAGCAAAATTGATTCTATACATGATTAACAAGGGAACTCAGCATAATCGCGATGAAGGACCAAGCAAGGCGGAGTCATTAAAGCTTTAGTAACAGAATTGGTGCGATTAAATCCAAATTAGCTTATTCCTTCTTTTCAATTCTGCTTAAATTCATCGTGGATATAGCATAATCTAATTCATGGAGGTGTTTTCTAAGAATTTCCTCAACAAATGGACCACTAATATCAGCTAATCATGGGTAGTTTAGAGCCTTAAACTGATCCCTGCTGATGAAATTTCGATGAGACCCTCTGCTCGTAACTGCTTACAAAAATGACCACTGAAGTACAGATGATGTTGGAGTGCTTGAAGTTCTCGAACCACAACAATCTTATGGATTGCTGTGTCCTCGCAAAATAAGGTGATGTTAAGGATCTTCGGCATCATGGAATTGGACTCCACCGAGCGGTGTATAGGCTGTTCTTTGATGTCAGGGATGCAAAGGTAAAGGACTATCAAGCAAAGGTAAAAGGATTTTCAATTCAAACCTTGGCTATTGCCTTATATGAAGGGTTATAAGCAGAAGTGTAGAATAAACTAAATGTCTCCTCCGCATTCAATAAAATGGATCTCTCTCGCTAGGTAACCACATAATGGGTTGGGCAACCAGCTCTATAAGCAATGATGGTTATCTACACCAGGCGACATAAGTAAGATAAAGAGCACAAGAGGATAAAATTCCATCGATGAAAACTAAGGATTATAACAAGGAATGCTAAACTGCTGCACTAGGAGAAGGGATACACTATTTAGAGATAACTCAGAGAGATATAGAGATATCTCACACCCACATTTATCAGATTGAGCGTTATATAGCTTTTTTGACAATTAGAAACTTACCAAAACTATTTGAGTCATAATTACTAAAGTCAACTTGGTCAAAACATTAATTTCAAGGCTAATTCGTGAAATGGTAACGGGACGCTGGATGCTTCCAAGTCCGAGCAATAATGGAATGCGTAAATTGGTTTGGAATAAATATGGCGCCACAGGGCTTAACATACTTACCGAAAGCTAGAACACAATATCAGGTGATAACGTTAAATCTAACGCCGTATTGGATTGTAGGAATGCTCTAACCGAATACTGTCCCAGAGGTAAGGTTTATATTATATGGGTAACAGGCCGCTCGGGACTAGTCGGGAACGATACCATAAGGCCTCTAGGGTCTTATGGTGACCCTAACTAGAACAGGACTAGAAACCTCCTCAAAATGAGCCAGTCTGAGTCTAGTCTGATGTTACGTATTCTGAGTCTATAAACATAATTACGTTCACAATTGTACAAAATTGCACGTGCGGATTCAGACGAATGTAAGGCATTTAGAGTGGAAACAGTAACTCTAGGGCACTATCTTTACCATTGTCAGGCTTTCGCCGAAATTAGATCCAAATTTCTTGTGATTGATATTATTCCATCACGAACACTGAATGAAAAATTCTTAGAAATGACTTCCAGGAAATTAAGTTTCTAAACATCGGACGATAATACAATCAATGAATACTTGTTTTGTTGATATCAACAAACATTTTCCATGAAATGGGGCGCACAACAGGCCCGAAAGTGCTTTAGGTGTACATATTTCTTCGGATTTAAAGTAAATACATCCTTTTATCAACCTAAACTAACCTAATCTTATGCGAGGCTAAACTTTAATCTTTACATTTAATAGAGTTTCCCTATAAGAACGAGTGGCTTTCATCCGAAAAGTTCTCATAGACGGATCTAAGATGTAATCGCACTCTGAACCCACTGTTTTAATCGATGACTGGGGTATAACGGAATGCTACATATTTTGAGATGATGTGTTTTAAAAGCTGTAATCCTAGCGATCTGGAAAGTGTCTTTAGTAGTGAAAAGTTATGTTAGGCGGCACACAAGTCCTTAAAATCTCATACAGTAGGAACACTGCAAAAGCTCTCTTTCGATTTTCTGTACTATTTAGTTTCAGGCATACTCCTCATTGTTCATTCTGAAAAATTGCTCTCATGCTCCACAAAGACGATCTAGCTGCATCTGTTCATCTATTATGACAGAGGATAGGAGCTTAAGAGATAATATTTAATCTAGAATAAAATAAGTTTAACCAGCAAAAAGTTTCCAGTAAAGATAAGATAAACAAGTTGGAGTGCTATATTCGGCTGAGCCAAATCTTAAATACCCTCCACCAGCAACTTTTTTATTAATACATTTCTAATTAATAAAATATTTGTAGAAATAAGTTTTCTCATGTCTTAAATAGAAAAATCCCAAGATTTAAACAGCTTAAATCTACTACAATTCCAAGATTTATTGAACATTAGAAACGCCACTTTCATTTAAATTTTTATAGCGCCCTAAGATATGCTTTAGCGATATCTCGTATTTGCATGTATGCATGTGTGTGAAAGATTTAAGGATTTTAAAAATACATACATATGTATATATAATTTTGTTTACACAAATTGATAATGCAAATAGTTAAATACGGTTAAAGCGCTTTTAGGGGCAGGACCTAGTATGAGAGATATGACCAAATATAGACCGATCGTGAAAAATTTTTGAAATAGCATTAAGTGCTTTTTGCATTACAAAATAGTATTTATGAACAAAAATAGTATTTATTTATATCATTATTTGGTAATGAGTTATGTGCCTTTAAGTGTTTTTCTGAAAGGGACCTTGTATGGGAGCTATGATCAATTATGGATCGATGGGAAAACAATTTCACAGTAATATTTCTCTGTATATGAGCAATATTTTTGCCAAACTTTATATGGATATCTTAATTTAGTAAAGAGTTATGTGCGTTTAAGTGATTTTCGGGAGGGGACCTTGTATGGGAGCTATGACCAGTTATGGACCGCTCGGAAAAAAAATTATCTGTAATATTTCTGTGCATATGAGTAATATTTGTACCATATGGGTATCTTAATTACGTAATGAGTTATGCGCGTTTAAGTGATTTTCGGGAGGGGACCTTGTATGGGAGCTATGACCAATTATGGACCGATCGAAAAAAATTTTCACAGTAATATTTCTGTGCATATGAGTAATACTTGTGCCAAATCTTATATTGATATCTTAATTTAGTAATGAGTTATGCGCGTTTAAGTGATTTTCGGGAGGGGACCTTGTATGGGAGCTATGACCAATTATGGACCGATCGGAAAAAAATTTCACAGTAATATTTCTGTGCATATGAGTAATACTTGTACCATGGATATCTTAATTTAGTAATGAGTTATGCGCGTTTAAGTGATTTTCGGGAGGGGACCTTGTATGGGAGCTATGTCCAATTATGGACCGATCCATAAAATTTTTCCTCTGAAAGAATTCTATTGACATAAGATTTTAATTTTGTGAAGATATCGACATTGTTAACGGCGGAAGTTATTAACAAAAAACCCATTTTCCGGGAATATGTACTTTTGTATGGGAGGTATATGAAATTGTGGACCGATTCTCATGAAATGTTTTAATATTTTTGAATGTGTTGATTTATTCATTAAATATTTATCACAGATCAACAAATATTAGGTAAAGTATTAAAAAAAGTATTAAAATCGTTTATTATTTTGGTATTTAAATCGGAACAAGTCGGTTTTAGTGACATTTCTCAAAAAAAAACCCCAATATAGAGCGTTTTGAGACGATAAAAGATATTAATTTTTTTTGTCGGCCACGTCACTTTCGAGTGGGCGGGGCTCCAAAGTTTTATACATTTTGGTGTAAATCTCGAAAACTGTTTTGTTTACAAAAAAATGTATACATCAAATAAAAAATATTAAAAATACCTTCCCAATGATATATAACATGATACTAAAATATGGACCGACTTTGGGTTTTTTCCGGAAAATATATATTTTGACCCGACTTTTTTTTTTCATCTAAAAGAAATTGGAAAAAATTTATATATAATTCTATTATAAATTTCTATATGTTAATAGCCAATGAATTAAGCTTTCAAAAACCATTTATTTTATAATTTAATTTACATATCATCAGAGTTGTCAGATTCCCCTGATGAAGAAAATAGTTCCTCGTGAGAGGCCAACATTTGTATGTTTGTGTCATACGGACCTTCCGAAAGAGGATTATATAACCTCTATGGTATGTCCAACACCGGCTTCGCTTAATAAAGATATCCTGAATTTTCTCCTCTATGGTATGTCCAACACCGGCTTCGCTTAATAAAGATTTCCTAAATAGCCGGCCTACGGCCGGTGTGAACCGATTTTGCCCATTTGCAATACCAAACAACTTAGGAAAATGAAGAACATTTTGGGTGAATTTGGTTAAGCTCTATTGCTTCGTTTTATCGTGAGCGTGTTTTACACAGACAGACAAACAGACGGACATAGCTAAATCGACTCAGAATTTGATAAGGACCCAGAATATATATACTTTGTTGGGTCTCAGATGAATATTTCTTGGTGTTACACACGGAATGACAAAGTTATATATACCCTCTATCACCACTGATGGTGGTGGAGGGTATAACAATATCCCAAACAAACAGGGTGTATAAACATAACTTAAATATGACTATGAAACATGCTGTACTTTTTTATAATTCTATGAAATTTTAATTCATATTACAAAATTTATATGCGTAAACCTTACTTCGAACTAAAAATGGGTAAGTTATTTAAGGAAAATATAAATCTTTAAAATATATCTCCTATTTCTATTCCAATAGATCTTAATATACTTAAAAAATACAATATTGAGGATATAGAAAATCCCTTGCCCGACGAAGCCTTCGAGTTGCTGCCCTGTCAAAAGAAATTCAAATTAAAACCCGAAGATGAAATCAGTTTGGATAGTATATTCTCGGCTTTATTAGATCGCATAGAACCCTCACATAAACAGTTAAGAAATTTAAAATTTCAAGTGCCAGCCAAGGAGTTGTTAAACGATAAACAGGCCATTATCTTTGAGGAGCAGCTGTATATATCGAAATTAAAAGATAATGGTTGTAAACTAAATGAAGACTCTAAAATTTTCCTAGAAAGTGAATTGGAAGAATTGGGCGAGTTTAAATTGAAAGTAGAAGAAAGTTATGATGGCTATGTGGTCTATGGTAAAAGTAAAATGCTAAAGGGTAAAGGAAAATATAATTGTGGTCATTCGGTAAGGGGAAAATATGATGATAAATTAAATTTGATATGTGAGAAGAGAAGTGAATATGATTTTGTGGAAAATGCTAAAATAGTAAGTAATAAAAGAAAGATAACTGCTACAAGGATAAAAGTAATTCTATGCTAGGAAAAAACCTTAGATGCCCGCATAATAGAGGATAAATTAGTAACCAAACGTGAGATCAAAATCAATAATGATAATCAACGTTTCAAGGCGGTTATTAATGTCAAAGGTCGTGATGATGTCTTCATTTTAGATGGCGGTGTTTTGCTATTAATGCGTTATTTAATTATTAATAATTTTCGTGGTGATTTTCATTATTTCTCCATGAATTTAATAGGTAAACCAAGGGAACTCTAAAGCAACATTAATTCATAATAATTTTCACTTGCAGGCAAAATTATACGCTGCCAATTGACCATACGTGAGGAGCGTAAACAAATCAAAATGTTTCATCGTAATTTCAAAAATGCTCTACACGTTACTAACACCCAATACTTTAACAACTACCCCCAAGAAGTATCGGAAACTTTTTATACCGCCAATGGCAAAATGATTCTACATTATTGGCATAATTTCAATTATCTTATACACGAAACCAAAGGCTTCAAACCCAAAGAAGAAACAATTGTTCCTAAACTGGAATTAATGTGGCGCAGTCATAATCAATTATTGGATCAATATCGTTTGAAAAAGAAACTGACTTATGAAAATGCCATGGATTACTTTGAGAAACATCCTGAGTTGTCGCATTTCTTGCATGACTATGTTTTAAATGTTTTGAAATATAAACCACGTAATGTATTGGAGTTTAGCGTAAGATACTTTCAAAAATTCAAGAAACCAACACAACGGTCTTAAAGGCCCAGATCATATAGTAGCTACTATATGGCCCAAATGTTTGTTATAGAATGTTAGCAACCCTGTTTTAGTTACCAAAGCATCGCTTGCGAACAACTTGGCAACCATTTTGGTTTTGTTGACTTTGTCAAAATAACTATCTTTTTAGTAGTGTTGCAGAAAACGGAAACAGAAAATTGTGTTTATATATTTTTCAATAAATTTTAATTTTGTGATTTTTGTATTCCATATATTTTTTAATAAAATTTATTTTGCTCAAAATATTTATCCGATATTAAAATGTCCATACACAAACCCGAGCCAATGGTAAGTTTAAAATATTCATTTATATTGATAATATTCATTGGTCCAAAAATTCTAAACATGTTTCTAAAATGAGATTGAGACAACTTTTCAGCTGAAGCTGAAATACTGAAGTTTAAGTCTATGTTTGATTCTTAGCATATAGACCGCATACCAGGTCAGATATTGGCCAAGGAGTATTTCTTCGGAACTAACTAACTAACTAACTAACTAACTAACTACTAACTAACTAACTAACTAACTAACTAACTAACTAACTAACTAACTACTACTAACTAACTAACTAACTAACTAACTACTAACTAACTAACTAACTAACTAACTACTAACTAACTAACTAACTAACTACTAACTAACTACTAACTAACTAACTAACTACTAACTACTAACTAACTACTAACTAACTAACTAACTAACTACTAACTACTAACTAACTACTACTAACTAACTAACTAACTAACTACTAACTAACTACTACTAACTAACTAACTAACTAACTACTACTAACTAAACTACTAACTAACTAACTAACTAACTAACTAACTAACTAACTAACTAACTAACTACTACTAACTAACTAACTACAACTAACTAACTAACTACTAACTACTAACTACTAACTAACTAACTAACTAACTAACTAAACTAACTAACTACTAACTAACTAACTAACTAACTAACTAACTACTAACTAACTAACTAACTACTAACTAACTACTACTAACTAACTAACTAACTACTACTAACTAACTACTAACTAACTAACTAACTAACTACTAACTACTCTAACTAACTAACTAACTAACTAACTAACGAACTAACTAACTAACTAACTAACTAACTAACTAACTACTAACTAACTAACTACTAACACTAACTACTAACTACTAACTAACTAAACTAACTAACTAACTAACTAACTAACTAACTAACTACTAACTACTAACTAACTAACTAACTAACTAACTAACTAACTAACTAACTAACTACTAACTAACTAACTAACTAACTAACTAACAACTAAACTAACTAACTAACTACTAACTAACTAACTAACTACTACTAACTAACTCTAACTAACTAACTAACTAACTAACTTAACGAACTAACTAACTAACTAACTAACTAACTAACTAACTAACTAACTAACTAACTAACTAACTAACTAACTACTAACTACTACTAACTAACTAACTACTAACTAACTAACTAACTAACTAACTAACTAACTAACTAACTAACTAACTAACTAACTAACTAACTAACTAACTAACTAACTAACTAACTAACTAACTAACTAACTAACTAACTAACTGTGAAAATTCTACAATATTCTTAAATTTAGAAAATTAAATTCTATTTTCTTTTTTATTATGAGTTTTAAAAACTTTTTCACATTTTTTTTTTTTTGCGAAATAACTACAAAATTAAATTCGCCTTTTGTGGACTTGTTGAATTTTATCATATTAACAATTTCATGGTTACGGCTGAATTACATTGAATCCATTGTTGATTCATTTGTGTTTCCCGACACGAATAAAGCTTCGACCCACCACACAGAAACAAAACACTGAGACTAGTAATCCAATTAATCTTGTTAATATCAACCCTATTTAGAACGATCTACAAAGTCATGCATATATATTCTGTCTATCCAGACAAATTAGGACGCAGAAAATTAATGAGTTCTATAGTTTCCTCGCTGCATCCATATGTGTAGATCATGTGTGTGTATTTCTTAAAAAAGAAGTTAGCGTTCCTTAAACCATTTTATAAACCTTATTTCCTTCATAAAAGGTACTGAAATTAATGTAATGTATTATTTTGTTCCTAGGAAGAAATGCCTCCAGCTGAAGGCGAAGATTTTCAAATTCCCCACAAAGAGGAACCAAAATTAGAAAAGTTTGCAGTAAGTTTTTAAAAATTCATATCATTTCAAAAAGATCCAAATACTGGAATTTGTATAAACTATAACATATTCATCCCTTTTCTCCCTTTAACTTTCTTTATTTAGAAGGCTATTGACCCCCATGCCGATGATTTCAATAATCCACCTTGTTATTTACCACAACCAGAAGATCAACTGCCTAAAAAGGATAATTTACAGCCCATGGGACCCATTGGTCCTTGGGCTACAGGTAAAGTTGATTGGAGTCCCATGGCTGGTTTGACTGGTACAAGACCGGTAGTGGATCGTTATTCTATAACAAGATTTAGTCCCAATGAATGGAGAGCAAAAAATTTGGAGACCGTTAAACATACTAATCAAGTTTTTGATAGAACTTTGAAGTGAGATAAAATATAGTATTTAAAAGGATGAAAACTGAATCCTTTCTCGTTCATTTTAGAAATCAATATAGTTGTAAAACTTCACTCATGCGTATTAACTCCCTAGTGGAAAAGACCCAAACCGAGACTACCGAGAATATGCGGCAACGGGCTCAATTAATAGGCAAATGGAAGAATACCTTGGAGGCGGCCATTAAAGCCATGCAAGATGAAATCAGTACTTTGGAAGAGGAAAGAGTGAGACTTAAAAAATCTCTGGTGATACTGGGCGTACCTGAATCCATAGTTAAGGAATGTATAGATAAACGTTGTGGTAGACCAGATACGGAATTAGTAAGAGATGTTCCCGAAGAAGAGTTGATCAATGAATTGGCTTTAATAGCGGAAATTCGACAGCAACTAAAGAAAACTTTAGAAGATTTTGAACAGCAACAAGTAGAAAATCGTACAGCTCGCCAGCGTTTGGAATATGATTGGAGTGATAAAAAGGAGTCCTATGAAATAGATGCGGTAAATGTGGGCCTTAACAATCGTTCGAAAACTATAATGTTTAGACCAGGGGCTGTACGACAACCAGCAGAGTAAGTTGTTTTTTGTTTTTTAATAAAATATTTTAACTTTTTGAAACAATTCTTGGTAGGCAAGCCTCGGAACAGTATTGGGAGCATTTCAGCAAAGAGACCCTGGAGGAATGCGAAAACTGTCGTCAAAGGTCTCTTAAATTACGGCATACCTTAAATGCCATATTAATGAATGCTGCTCGAGATATACGTGGTCAAGCTGATGTGGTGGAAAAGGCCTTCGTAGCGCGCATCAACTGTACTCAAGAAAATTTGCAACGTTTTGAAAATGATCTGAGACAGGTATGAAAAGATAACTTATGTGTTTTTTATCAATCTATTCTGTTTTAAAATAGTGTCTTCAAAATCTGGCCGATACTGAGACCCGTATCGATAAACTACATCGAGCCATACGCAATTTTGATGCCGGCATGAAGGTGGCTCAAACCCGCATGGATAATCGCAGTTTTCGCCCGAATGTGGAAAATTGTCGTGACACGGCCCAACAGAATCTTATAGACGAGGTTGCCACCATACAGAGTGGTGTCAGTGCCATGTTGCAGGAACTGGACGAGGCGGAAAATGTTAAAAATCAACTTATGCAAACGCGCAGTACTTTAGAGCGTGAAATAATGCTCAAACGTCGCACTTTATGGTTGGATCGGGAACGTTGTATGCTTTTGAGATCTCATTATCCTTCGGCCAGTGCTTTAAGTGGTTTTGCTAGTGTTTAATTTGAATCGAGAGGAAATATTTTTAATAAACTATGCATTCCTTTTAGGAAAAAAATGGCAAATTTTGGGTTTTATTAAAAAATATCAGCTTAAAAATCTAATTAAAAAAAATCTTAACTCAGTTCTATAGACAATCATAATTTGAATAGGGGTTTCCTTTAGTTTATCTCATCAAAAACGTAGCCCAGTTGTTCTAGTTCCTTCAGCAAAGTCTTATTTTTACTAAGAGTTTCGAACCACATATCACCGGGATAGTCTTCATGGATACCGCCATATCTGAAATTAAGAAAAAATAGTACAATTAAACAAATAAAGAATATAGTAGTCTCAACAATACTAAAAACTATAGTCTAGAGTAATGACAAGAATATAAGCCTGTCAATATTACCAACTATAGACTAGACCTAAGTCTAGACTACAGACTAGACAATAATCCAGACTAGACTATTGTCTAGACTATAGACTAGACTATATAGTCCAGACTATGGACTAGACTATAGTCCAGACTATAGACTAGTCTACAGTCCAGACTATAGACTAGATTTTAGACTATAGACTAAACTATAGACTAGACTATAGACTAGACAATAGACTAGACTATTGACTAGACTATAGACTAGATTATAGACTAGACTATAGACTATACTATAGACTAGACTATAGACTAGACTATAGACTAGACTATAGACTAGACTATAGACTAGACTATAGACTAGACTATAGACTAGACTATAGACTAGACTATAGACTAGACTATAGGCTAGATAATAGACTAGACTAGACTATAGACTAGACTATAGACTAGACTATAGACTAGACTATAGACTAGACTATAGACTAGACTATAGACTAGACTATAGACTAGACTATAGACTAGACTATAGACTAGACTATAGACTAGACTATAGACTAGACTATAGACTAGACTATAGACTAGACTATAGACTAGACTATAATCCAGACTGTAGATCATATTATAGTCCAGACTATAGACTCTACTATAGACTAGTCTATAGTCCAGGCTATAGACCATACTGTAGACTAGACTATAGACTAGACTATAGTCTATAGACTGTAGACTAGACTATAGTCTAGACTGTAGACTAGACTATATAGTCTATACTATAGTCCAGACTATAGACT